CAGAGAGCTCGCCTTGAGCTGAAGAGCTGAGAGACAGCGTTCAGGCCCCATGACTGACAAAATAAATAAATAACAAAAAAATAAATGAGCCCCTTCCCTTCTTTCCCTCTAGGAGATCCAACTCATAATTCTCATAATTCTCTTAATTCTATCCCAGGGCTGAAAGAATTGAGCCCACAGCTAAATCTAGAAGTCACAAACCAACAAGCTAACCTACCATTTCTCACTCAATTCTTCCCAGTCTTTTTTGCTCTGTTGGACACGGAGAACATTAAATTTGTACATGCCCCCAAATAAAGCAAATGGGCTGCTCTGGCCAGAAGACTTGGCTGGGTAATCTGTAGTCTGGGATCTTTCCAGGCTTCAGGGGTTCAATGGATCAATACCTGTCTCCTCATACCTGTGATCCATTTATGTTTGAGTTAACCTCGTTGTTTTTGTTTGTTTAAAACAGTGTAGCTATGGAGGAGCCCAACCAGCCCTGGTTGGGCTCAACCTCATGATCCTCCTCTTCAGCCCCTGAATGCTGAGATTACAGGCATGCACCACCACACCTGGTTTAGTTGGCAGGTTTTATTTCATGGAGACCTCGGCCTAACCACCTCTACACACCTAGACTTTTTATAGGCCCAATAAGGCCTAACTAAGCCCATTTCTTGAGATCAGAGCCTCCAGGCTCAGTGCTCTCAGTTCTGAGGCATTTAAGAATCTGAAAGAAGCCAGAGTCTCACTCCAGAGAAATGGCAGATGTGCACAGAATCCTTCCACCCATTTTCAGAGGATTAGTGGATTGTATATACAATCTTCCCCTCTCCCTATCCCTAAAGACAACAGATCTAGATTAAGATTCCTACTTACTGGGTGTAGAAATCCAGCCTAGTTAGAAGGCTAAAAATGGGAAGAGACACTTCTTTAGAATCCACTGGGACCAGGCTTGGCTTCCCCCTCTGCTGAGTCTTTCTGTTGACATTATCAGCTATTTCTCTAAACCTCAGTTTCCTGGTAATAAAATGAGCATCGTCATTTTGCTGTGTGGAAAGCTGGGAAGATTAAATGGGAGATGAAGGTTAAAGGTAGGCCTAAAAGGAAAAAAAAAAAAATGAAGGCCAGGCCCAGGGCCTGTCTATAGCATAGGCCAAAAAAAGCCTTTTTTATTTGCCAGTCCTGGGGCTCGAATTCAGGACCTGGGTGCTGTCCCTTAAATTCTTTTGTTCAAGGCAAGCACTCTATAACCTGCACCACTTTCAGCTTTTTCTGAGTAACTTATTGGAGATCTTGGACTTTTCTGCCCAGGTTAGCTTAGAACCATGATCCTTAGTAGCTGATTACAGGTACTGGCACCCAGCTGACTCTGCATTTTAAAAACTGTGCATGTAGCCAGGTGTTGGTGGCTCACAGCAGCTAATTCTAGACACTCAGGAGGCTGAGATCTAAGGATCGAGGTTCAAAGCCAGTCCAGGCAGGAAAGGCATGAGACTCTTTTTTTTTTTTTTTTTTGGTCAGCAATGGGGCTTGAACTCTGGGCCTGGGCGCAATCCCTCAGCTTTTCAGCTTCAAAGCTAGTAGCGCTCTACCACTTGAACCACAGCACCACGTCTGGTTTTTGTTCTGCTTATGCGGTGCTGAGGAATCAAACCCAGGGCCTCATGCATGTGAGGCAAGCACTCTACCACTGAGCCACCTTCCCAGTCCCTCTTTCTTTCTTCCTTCCTTCCTTCCATCCTTCTCTTCTTTCTTTCTTTCTGTGTGTATATGTATGTTTGTATGTATGTGTACTGTTCCCAGGGCCTGAACTCTGGGCCTGGGTGCTGTCCCTCAGCTCTTCAACTCAAGGCAAGCACTCTACCACTTGAGCCACAGCACCACTTCTGTCCATGAAACTCTTATCCCAATTAACCACCAGAAACCAGAAGTGGTGCTGTGGCTTAAGTGGCAGAGAGCTAGCCTTGAGCTAAAGAGCTTAGGGACAGCACCCAGGCCCAGAGTTCAAGGCCTATTACCAATTAAAAAAAAATGTACATGAACTCTTCAAAAATTCCCTCTTCTGATTGTAAAATTAGGGCAGGCAAAGTGGTGACAGCAGAAGACTGGTGAGTGTCCTGGCCTTGGCCTGTGCCCCCTCTGCCATGTAGAGTACCATCATTAATAATAATCATCCTAGCAAATCATTCCCCTTGAGCCATGAACAGTCAGAGAGGGCCAAAGAGGTCAGATCCAAGAGAGAAACCAGGGACACTTGGAAGAACATAGGCTGGGCCAGTTATAAGCTGAGGAAAATACGAAACAGAGATTTAGGGGGGTGCGGGGGAGAGAAAGAGAGAGAACAACCCTGAGAGGAGACTGAGTTTTGGCCTAAGGGAAAGAGAGCATTAGGTTTGGAGTCAAAAATCCTTAGCGCATGGGCTGGGAAGGTGGCTCAGTGGTAGAGCGCTTGCCTTGCATGCCTGAGGCCCTGTGTTTGATTCCTCAGCACCATATAAGCAAAAA